TGTTAAAATACTCATTATGGGCCAAGATCCCTGCAGTTTAAGTCTGATGTATTGTTCTGCTGCGTGCCATCTATGCATAGCGAATATTGGTTGCCAATTGGCTTCCGAATGCAATTCAAAGTGCTGTTGATAATTTTAAAAGGCTTACTTACCTCGACTCCCACCTATAATTGTGGTTCAGCTGTTATACACAGCCTTCCCCCTTCTCACCCTACCAGATTGGCTACTCCCCCTACTGAGCTTTCAGAATAGAGTTAAAATTATCTTATTCCATTGGAAATTTGTCATTAAAAATCCTGGGTGACCTTATTATAAAATCCATCAAGAATGTTAAAACATATCTACCATTGCCTTAGAATATTTGGCCTGTTTCAATAGACAATCTATAGGTATTTAAGGTTTAGCTGAAATTAAATACAAGTTGTAATTACATGCTGACAACACTTTGGTCTAATCAACAACTTTTAAGCTTCTCTACCCAAGTATATTTTCTGAATGTACAATAAATTGGAATTTAAAAAATATTACCAATTGCATAATAATCTCTGCCCTCTGAAGAAAGCTGTATCACGATATAGACATCATAAGAAATATTTTGTTAATATGTACTTGATTTATTAATATAAGCTATACTAACAATATTGAAAACCTGTCAGCATTTTGCCTTTCTTTCTTCAGAGTCTGAAGGTGAAGGCAATCATGTGTTCCTGTTTTCCAATGCTAAGTTAATGTTTTAGTAACAATAACTCTGCCTGAAATCTACCTATGTGTGAGTTGGAGGGGAATCATATAAATTTACTAAACAAAATAAAATTGAAACATAGTTGTTGCATACTTTCTTCCAAGATATTTGTGTTACTCTATAATGTATAAACACTAGGATTTATTTGTTTGGGATCTCTTAAATATTTGGGGTAGTAATTCCAAGAAAAATATTTTTGTTAGATGTAGATGCAGTAAAATGAGTAAATGATATTAACAATATGAGTTATAACAACAGTTGAAAATATCTCTGAGTGTATGGGAAATAATAAATCTTGCGAAAATGAATTTTGTTGCAACACTTAGTTCAATAGATTTTAAGAAGAATATGTTAATCCCACCTACTATAGATATTTTACACAAATTAATCAACAGTTGATGGATTTTTAATAAAGGAATCAGGACGAAAGACCCACAATTATCTCTGTTTTACTGCCACTCCCAGCTAAAAATAGTGGGTTTAATTTTCCAGATTTTCAATTATACCATTGGGCTTCTGACATTCTTTGGAATGGAAATTATTTTGAATGTGAGCCTCTATGGGTACAACTAGAAAATTATTATTTGGCTCCTCTGATATTCTGACAGGCATTCAGCTGTAATTTGTTTGGAAATTAGCTGTATTGAAAACAACAGACACCAAAACATATTACTAGGAATAAGATTTAAATCTAATACTTCTCATGAGAAATTGTCTGAAATAATTCCTAGTGCATGAAAAGTTTTATTTAAAAAAAAGTTAACACCTTTAATTAGCATATCACTGCTACTACTTTTAAGACTTTGGGAATGCTATGAAAAGAATACAACCTACCTAAAATTGCTGAATGGAAATATATATTTTCCCAATCTGAATGCTTTGATGCTCTGAATTTTAAAAACTTTGGTTGGTTAGTGACTTTTCATTTTCATATTAGAAACAGTGGTACCTACAAGTTTGTAAGCATCTTTAATATTTCTGCATAAATATGACCTAAAATCTTATTTGTTTTCCACACAAATCCTAAAACTAAATAAAGGGAACACACTTAATCAAATGAGTCAAAAACACTATACTTGTTCATTGATGTATTAGGATGTGAACCTCTAGGATCATCAATTCATTTGAAGGAGAAATTACAGTCAGGTGTATCATTGTACCTGTTGCAGAATCTGATAATCAAGTCTGTGTGTGATGTCATGCCTTATAAATAGTCCCTTCATTCAGTGACCGTTCAAAATTATGATGGTGCTGAATTAAGGGACTTAGGACTCCTGCCTGAATTTATGGTCACTGAAGTGCCAATATGGTCACATGAACAAAATTCAGATGCTCCTGAATTCACCTACTCTATTCACCTTACGATCAATTGCAGGTATGTTGCAGCAACTCCCTTGCCTACCTTCCTTCCTCCCACAACCCTCCCTGCCAGGTCCCTGCAGGCTTTGAGCCTGCTTCTCACCCTGCTGGGTCTCGCATCCTCCTCCCCAATCCCCATCACAGCTCGGTCACTTACATTTTTTATAGATGCCATTTGGGAAATAGCCCCTCTGCCACATGGCCTTCCTACATGGAGGCAGTGTGGCACCGTCCCAGAAGTGAGCACTATTTTGGAAGCAGCTGCAATGAAGCCACTCTGAAATAGACTTGCTTCCAAGATGGAATGGGACTTTTTGTTTCCTACCTTTGGCCACGCTTCTTTCTCCACCAGTGTTCCTCCTCGGGCAATTCTCTTCTGACTTTTCTCCTTGGCTGACACGCCCCCGCCCATTCACCCTGGGCCCCTCCATCTTGTGCACTTCGGCATGGCCGATTTGCCCAAGCAGGGTTCGTCTTGGGCTTTTCGCCGTCCAGGACAGTTAGCCTTCAACCAATCAGGCATGTCAGCCAAGGAGAAAAGTCAGAGGAGAATTGCCCAAGGAGGAACACTGGCGGAAAAGAAGGTGCAGCCAAGGGTAGGAGATGAAAAGTCCTAGACCTTTCTAAGATGCCCCCAAATAGTGTCTATATTGTATGGAGAGGCTGAGGGGCAGATCAGTCAGCTCTCCTCAAATGTGCAGCTTTGACTGGTGGATTTGGTAGCTTAGGGCACAATCTTAGATTCAAATGGCATGGTTTTCTGTGATACAATTATGATACAAGAGGAAAAGGGTAGTCCCAGCAGGTAAGACAAGGTAGTTCTTATTTATGGGAAAGGGTATGTAATGCAACTCCAGAGGAAACACTACAAAATATTCTTCACAGTATTTCCTTTTGAATATATGCCATATATCATGGAGATATTTGAAGGGGGTCTTAGATTGCACCAGTACCTTATCAAGAAGGGACATAACATTTAGGAAATTCATTTATGCTGATTGATATTTCATAAATTTAAAATTTAATTAAAATATAACAACTATTAGCATGCATTATTATCAACAATGTGCTGGTGAAATAACACACCATGCAAAAGAACGTCTAGAGCCAATTCCATGGCAATATCCTTTGGCTTTTAAGATATTTACAGGAGGATTAAACAGCATGCTATTTTAACAATGTCACCATATGTAAAGTTTTATCTCACTCAGTGCTGCTGAAGGACACATTACCCAGTTATTTTGTACTCAAGAATTTTGCCAACCACACACAGTTGCTCATATTTTCCATAGTATTTCTTCATAATAAAGAAATTGTGACAATTTCTCTCTCTTTTTTTTTGCAAATAGCCTCTAGTTCTGTCATTCTATCCCAGCTATATTAACAAGTTTAAATAATTGCAAAATTTAACATTTCTCAAAGGAAAGACAAGACAAAGAGGAATTTCATTCATGAATAGTCAATATAGCTAGAAGAAGAAAATAACTCATCTTTTTGACAGGTTGTCACATCAGATACTAGAAGGAGAAATACAACAGATGGGATTTTTGCTTCTCTGAATCTTCATATCAGAAGAGGTATAATTCAGCCATGGGATGGCATGAAACTTTAGTAATCTTTTTCTTTGATAAAACTGACCTAATTCTGGATGATGACTTTTTTTTCTAAATATTCCCATTCTAATGCAAGAGCATTTTCTTTTTCCATTTGAGATGGATTTGTTTCATCATGTGAAAGAGTTTGTATTTTTCTAACTAAATGGAAATTTTGTGGAGAATTGAGGCTTCTATTGAAGAGAACCCAGTGTTTAAAAGAAAAAGGCAACAATCAAATGCAAAAACATTTCGCCTGGTGATTGCAGATCAACCTCACCAACTTTAAAAGAAAATGTGTATTTTATACTACTATAGATGTTCTTACAATTAAAGCAAAAGATGCTTACACTTCTTTCCCCACCTGTAGTTGTTCATGTCCTAACAAGAAAGCCAGAACTTGAGCGAGCAAAAGCATTATTCAACTTTCACTTGGGGTTTTGAATAAAGTATTTTGAGAACAGACTTCTCCTGGCTCCATTCTAAAACATCACAATGAATTCAGGATAAACAACCCAAAATCGGTTTACAAAATTCAAAACCCCAGTACTTAGCAACAGTTACTAACTTAAATGAGTACTATTTTTAACAGCAATTGAAAGAAATTCACAGAGGATAAAGATGATTATAGTTCTTAGCTCCAGAACTTTGGATAATCAAATGGAATACAGCTCTACCAACAACAATTAAAAATGTTTTTGGGCTCTGCTTGTATATTTGGTCAACTGCCCAAAAAAAGACAGTCCTAGACTGTGTATACTGAACATTCGGCCTGATCCAACAGAAAGCCCCGCTTTCCCCTATAAGAAACCCACCGCGAGGGAGTGCAAGCTCTACTCCCTCTACTCAGTGATACTGTAGAGAAGAGTTATTACAGCCGTCAAACGTGTTGTGCGGACTTTCCTCTTCTCCATGCGACTTGCTCCCACTAGCCTGTCAGGCAGCTTGACTCGTTTGCCAGCGAACGCTTCTAATAGACCCACTTTCCCACCTCCCCAGCAACCGCGATAACCGTCGGAATCAAGTAGCCGCCCGAGGGTGACAGCGAAAGCGGCTGCCTAAGTGGCAGCTCCCCGCTAACCCAAAACGTACAGGAAGAGACCGACGCAAGTCGGAGTATCCCGCCCAGCCGCCACGCCAGGCAACACCTTCGCACCTGGGCGGCTAAGTTGCGCCTCGCTTACGGAGGAATTTCCGCTGGTTTTGGGCACCCGCCTAGTGATTTCCCCCCCCCCCTTTCCCTGCAAGTGGAGTCACGCGAGCGCCGCCTAGCGGGCGCGCAACTGCGAAGGGCAGGGGCGGCTTACCTAGTCCAGGTACGAAGGTGTTGAGGAACAAGCAGAGGACGGCTACAGGGAACGGCATGTAGGGGATGGCGGCACGCAAGGGTCCCTTCTTCTCGCGCACTTGCACGACCACGCCGCCGGAGGAGGAGGCGGCGGCAGTGGTAGCGGCGGCATTATTTCCTCGCGCGGCGCCGCCAGCAGTCGGCCCGGCAGCGTCCCCTTCTTTGAGGCCATGGTCCATGATTGCCCGCTTTAGCCAGGAGGAGCTGCGCCCCAGAGCGTCTCCGCTCGAGTGAGGCTCTGACCGGGAGTCGGCGTCTGCCTAAGGATAAGGAGGCGACTGAGCTCAAGTGGAGGGATCTGAAAGCGAGACGCGCCCAAGCGCCCGACTACGCCGCGCTGCGCACGCTCTCGCCTCGCTTGTCCTCGCCGCGCGCCGCTTCGCCCGCCCGAAGGCGAGCGGTGGATTTATGGCCTCTCCTCCTCCATCTCCTCAGGTCCTGTCTTCACAGGCTGTCTCCGACCACCACGTTACAGAAGGAACATGGCTTATTCTCACCTGTTCTGTCCCTGCCCCCGAGTAGTTTTAGTAGAAAGTTATGGAGAATCCCTCTCCACCCCACTAATGTTCCCTTTCGCGTGGATAGACGTTTCGGGAGCGCAGTAGTTTTAATGGGACAACTTTTGCCCCCAACACACGTGCTCCTCCACCCCACCTCACACGCAACTATTAACTATTTGCCCTGATACTGTTATGTCGCCTGAACATGAAACGGAAGACCACGCTGCCTCTGCCTAAAGGAATTTCTCCAATGACCTTGTGACTGTTTTCTTTTCAGCTTGTAAACAGAAGCTCTGACCCTGATAGTGCTCACTCCTTGGTACAGGTAGTCCTCGACTTACAAGTCCTCGACTTTCATTCAGTGACCATTCAAAGTTACAACGGCACTGAAAAAAATGTGACGTATGGCCATTTTTCACACTTATGACCTTTGCACCATCCCCATGGCCACGGGATCAAAATTCGGACCCTTGACAACTGGTTCATATTTCTGAACATTGCCATATCCTGGTTTTCATGTGATCTGCTTTTGCAAACTTCTGACACGCAAATCAATGGGGAAATGTTTCATTTAACAACATAAAATTTGGGCTCCGTTATGGTCGCAAGTCAAGGACTACCGGTATTTGTTTGGTTTGGGTGCTTGAACTGACTGGAAGCTTTTGCAATGGCAAAACTAATTCAGAAGTGTGGTATAAGTATTACCTTTCCATAAATTAAAATTAGAAGCAAAGCACTAAAATATTTGTTTGGTGTAATTCTGATCAGTGGTGGATTAAGGCTCACTGGTGCCCTAAGCACTGGCAAATCTTGGTGTCCCCCTCCTTTGTAACATACTGTACAAATGAAGCCATATTCTCAACTTTGTGGTGCCCCCTTTGGGCCTGGTGCCTTAAGCACGTGCTTAGTGTGCTTAATGGTTAATACACCACTGGTTCTGATGCATTTTTCTAGTGCACATAGTATACTTTTCCTAGTTTCCGCCCATCTCTCCATTTTCATATTTTTCTTGATTGACTCTCATTCAGTTTTTCATTTCCTTGCACGTAAACTCCTCTTATGATTGTTTTATTTAGGGTTGATTTTTTTTTTTGGGGGGGGGGGGGTTAGTTTTACATTCACGAAGGAAGTTTATAACCATATTCACTTCCATATGATATGAGCATCTATTATTTCTTCACTCTGGATCCTCAATCCAGAATCATATTCTCACTTCAGCTATGGCTTTTCCTTGCCTTTAGATGGAGATGCCATTTCTAATGCTATGACCTTGACAACTGTCTGTGAAGCAGCCCAGCTGATATCTTAGTTCTTCCTTTATCCTTTGTCCCGACTATCAAGACAATGGGATCAGTTTTATTGTCTACCAGCTTTAAGAAAAATACATAAATCAATTCCATAGAAAACACCATAGAGAAAAGAGGCAGCTAGTAGAAATAATGAACCAGGGAAGCATTGTGCATGCTTCCAGTAGGGATTTGGATTACAGCAATGTTTCCCAACCTTACCAATTTTAAGATGTGTGGACTTCAACTTCCATACTTCCCCAGTTGCAGAGTTGTAGTCCACACATCTTAAAGCATGCTGTCTGGGGATTTTGGGAATTGGAGTCCATACATATTAAAGTTGCCAAGGCTGAAAAATGCTGTGTTGGAGAATGCAACCCATTGGTTTGACTCTTCATCTTCTTCCAAATAGCAACTTGTGTCCTTCGAGTATTTAATAATAATTCCAGGTCTGGCACAGCCAAATTTCAACAAATCATCAATTTCCAAAAAGGTCCTCAACAAATTAAGAATCCACAACAAAGGAGGCCTGGTGCTAGCATAAAATACAAAATACTATTTTCATGCCAGAATGCTTTCTCCAGCTCAACAGCAAGCTGGTCATGAGATGGAGACATGACTTCAACAAATGGTCAGTCTTTCTGCTGTAGGAAGCAGGCTGTGTTCCAATTAGAACCAACTGGTATATTAATTATGGGAGAAACTCTGGCTAATCTCACATTTTCTTGAGATAAAGGGAATCAGGCTAGGACATCATGTTTTTCTGCTAACATCAAAGTTATACCACAGCTTCCTTTGGAATTAAGTAAATCCCCACTGTGAGCATCTTCTGGAAAGCAAGAAAGACAAGCTATATGGGAGAGCCTGTGGACTTCTTTCTATTTTGCAAGTTTAAATTGTTTGATTGCATAAAATTGTTGCTGTCTTTAGGGGTATATTTTAGTTAACTATAATGGTAGGGCATTATACTGCTTTGTGTTCTTTGTTAGATTGTTTTCCATGAACATGTTAGTGAATACTTTTAATGTTTTACTTCTTACTATAGGTGTGGGTGTTTTGTTGCTTATACTGTCATGCATTTCATGTGCAATTTAACTGTTGTAAGCCACAAGTCAAAATGAAATTGGTGGCATCTAAATTTGATTGATTGATAAGCAAATAAATACACTGTACTATATAAATACATTATATAATACAAATATATTGTGTAGTAAATACATTGTTCTAACAGTGAGAATAATTAACCAATGGTATAGCTTGCCTTCAGAAGTTGTGGATGTGCTATCACTGGAGGTTTACAAGAAGAGGCTGGATAACCACTTGTCTGGAATGGTATAGGGTCTCCTGCTTCAGCAAGGGGGTTGGATTAGATGACCTCCAAGGTCTCTTCCAACTCTGTTATTCTGTTATAAAGAATGGTTATATAACCAATTATCTATAATTGTAATAAACAATTCCATTTTGATATATACACACATTGCATGAAATCATATACTCTCTAACAATTGAAAAAGAGAGGGGAAATTATAAGACAAAGCAACAATGTGTTTTATTAGTATTGCTTGTTTGTTGCATGAAAACTGATATCAATTCACAGCAATGGAATTAAATATTTGATTCCTATACAATGTGAAAACATAACCCTCCAGTTTGTTATGGTTCTTTGTTCCTTTTTTCTGCCTTTGAGTTATGGACATGTCTTGAAACTGTGAGTTGTAAAAACCTTTTAGAAGATGATGAGTAATTGTAATTCATTCTGCAACCTACTGTGTAGAATGTTAATAGAAGTGCAAGTTGCTTGGAATAGCGACAACAGCGGTGATGGAATATGTAAAATGATCAAAGCAAATATTACAAAAAGTCACAAGGGAAAATGTAGACATGTGACATTACAGAATAAAGTTGGCCATTCAACTCAAGGCAATTTTTCTTGAATTGTCAATCGATTTAAACTATTTAAAACATTTACATTAAAAAGGTTTGGAGAAATGAGCAGTCTATCATTTTAGTTAATAAATCATTTCAATTTGTATTAAATTGGCTTCATTATTACAATGATAATAAAAATATAAGAACAATAAAGTAAAAACATCCAAATTAACAGATAGCATAAACTTAGTAAAACCCTATCTGAGTTGTAAGTCAAAATAAAGAGCTGGGTATTTGGGGTCTGCCTGAAATCCTGACTGTCATCGAAGAATTCAGTCTCCTAAAGGTGCTCACTAAAGGCCAAATACCCAGAAAAAGCTGACCACTCTAGTCAGTTTGTGAAATGCCAAAAAGCTGGGATCATCTGTACCTCCAGAAGTATTCCATAAAATAGGAGACCACCACTGAGAATGCTTTTCATCTAACCCTCTCATTTTGAACCGTGTGAGGCTGTAGAAGCAGAAACAGACCAATTTCTTGATGGCAGATTCAGTTTCGAAAAGACATTGGCCGATGTATCATGATGTTGCATGATAAAAGGCTTTAAAGGTTAGCTGCAATTATTTTATTTTATTTTGAAAATTTTATTTGGATTTTCACAAAAAAAAACATAATACAAATAAAACATCTTTTTTTGAAAATAGCATGGTCCCGGGTTATCACTTCTTCATCAGACACAAACTCAATTTCATGTTCATTTTTATGTTCTATTCCATATCTTATTACTGTTTTACCTTTTCTACATAATTTTTCCTCTCTTTTAATTTTCTCAATTTTATTTTGATTATCTCATCTCAATTCAAATCATTATATTTATACTTTTGTCTGTCCTGTTTCAATTTCATATTATCTTTTCTCATTAAGCAAATTTTCCCCTGTAGTTACTAATTGGAGTATGACACCTTTATATCTTTTAATTTTATCCATTCAACTCTTATTTAAGCTTCAATGTATACCTTTAAGATTATAACATTCAATATAATACATAACTTCCAATCGAATTCTGCTTGGTACATTCTTAAAATACACACTATATTTTTAAAAAAGATTATATATATATATATATATATATATATATATATATATATATATATAT